GCGTGTAAAAAAAAAAAAAAAAAAAAAAAAGTGATTAAGGCTGAGCTACTTAAAGACAATATAACACAATCCAAGAAATAATTTTGCATCTAAACAAAAGTTGTTATTAAATAACCGATTTGTTTATAAAAAAATAGAACTTATAGAATATTCAACGAGTTAAGCAAGTAATGCGTTTTATAACATGCATACATGTCGTAAAATCAAAATGTATATTTCTTCTTAAACATTTTTTTACAAATTCCAAAAAAATTAATTTAGGATGGATTTTTTCCAAATATAGGTATGAGATCAAGTACAATTATTTGTAACGTATTTTGAAATAAGAAATAATTTGTGCACATTCTAACCAGCCAAGATCATTATTGTTCTCTCTATATAATTATATTATTGCTGTTTTAGGTTAACGTAATTAAGTAATTTCTCTAACTATTATAAAAATGACAACACCGTTTCCAAATCATTATTTTAGAATTATAAATAAAAAAAAACGGTAGCACAGTGGGGTCGCGGCATAGTGGAGACATTGCATAGTAGGGTCCAGTATAGATTTAATCTGACAGTGATTAAAATCACTATCATAAGAAACGCTTCGATGCAAATCTGTAGATAGTGTTTAATTTTAAAAAATTGATGGATAATTGCAAAAGCAACATCAACTTCTATTAAAATAAAATACAAAACCCATAATTATCATACAAAAATAGTATATTTTTCAATATGGTAGCCATTTGCGTATAGAAGATAGATCGTCGGGACAAATTTTTTTTTTTCATTTTGTAGTACATAAAATAAGCTTTAATTTTATATATGTTTAAAGGACGCAGTATTTCCGGAACATTTTCAAAAATTAAGTTGAAAAAGTTATTTTTTGTAAAAAAGTTACTATTTTAAATCCTCCCAGTGAGCAGAATAAGTGTTAGATTTTCAAAAAAAATTATATCAAATGAAAGGGAAATATCTAAGGTTTCAATACAAAAAAATATTATTTTTATTTGTTCATTTTTGAAAAAGTTATGGCAGTTTTAAGTACAAAAAACATCCCGATAAAATGTAATTTTTATCGCAAACATTATATTTTTTTTTAAATTTTCGACAGCCATTTGCACATAGAAGATAAGATGTCGGGACAAATTTTTTTTTTTCATTTGATAGTATATAACATAACCTTTGATTTGATATATGTTTAAAGGACGCAGTATTTCCGGAACATTTTCAAAAGTTCAGTTGAAAAAGATCTATGTTTTTTACAATATTTTAAGTTTTGAACGCCCCCTATATAAGGGGAAATTGTCCAATTTTAATAAAAAGTATGTCAAATGAAAGATGTACTTATAATGTATTTAGAAAAAAAAA